ACATACATATAAAAAAATCGCTAGCCCGACGCCCCGGAGCTAACTTCTTATCTGGTGCGCGTCTATAATACAGTAAGTATTTATAGTCATTGTATTCAGAGATCGCATCATTATTTATGCCTCTCTCACCTGAATATTTTGGTACTGCTGTGCAGAGTAACTCCGGGTCCCAACTGGTGCTATAGGGATAAAACCGTGTAGCTGAGCACTGTTCTTCATGAGAAAGGGGAGGGAGTAATGTCCACTCATCGATGGGCTCAAAAGCACAGCTGCCCTCACCCCCAAAGACTCCATGAACCTTGAAAGGAGATCCACTCGACTTTGGTCAGTCTTCAGAGACTCCGAGTCTGGTGATTTTCCATATCCTTAAAATATATATAAAAGAAGGGGGATATAATTTAAATAAACTTAAATAGATAACACTACAACACTACGCTACATATATTAAAGTTAATTTACACCTAGTGCAAGAAACTCACAGGTTTAAGCTGAAATTTTTTTTTAAGTATTTAAAGTTATTCTTCGAGTAATTCTTCGAGCATGCGTAGCACCATCTTGTGAGAGTACAGAATGTGACATCACTGGGTTGGTTGGTTATTGCTAATCGACTGACATTAGTTTGTGTCCGCTAACTAGTGAGAGAACTGATAACAAGGTGGAAAACAAGGGGAAAAAAACTAAAACGTAGTCTAAGGAATCCCTTTTGTGCTGCCCCTGGCTGATAAATGAGTTTTATGTTAATAATAAAATACACAAAAAAAAAAAAAAAATAAAAGATATACTGTTGTCATTCACTCTCTGTCTCTTAAGCAATAACCGGTTATTCATTGCTGGCTAGCTGGACTGAAATGGGAAAACTGAGACGTTAGCCGTAATGTTCGGTATTGTAGAGTAGTTTATTATTGAGGACTGTGTGCAGGAGAGCCTGTTGGAGTGAGGTGTGCTGGTGGTTCACCGAACCAACAAGCTCAAGTTTTTCTTTACTTTTCCTCATGGTGTCAGGTATACATGTATATATTAAAGTCTGGTTTGTATCAGGGGTTAGGTCTTTTCTTTTTCAAACCACATCTAAAACACTTTACAAGATAACTGGTTACAAAAATAAATAAACCTCCAGGTTAGCCTCCTTCATTTACATTTGTGCTCTTCCTCACTTCTCGTATGAAATAACTCACTCAGTGAGATAATGTTTTCAAACTAAAGAGTTTCCACAGCAGTTTTCCGAGAGAACTTCTAAACGCAAAAATCTGAATCAGCTTTAATACATATCCATTGTAAACAAAGCAATCATTTAGGAATGTGTGCAGAGTGGGATTTTAAAGTGTTTTCCAGCATTCCCTTTTGTCGTTTTAGGTGTTTCTAGTTAATCTGGTTGCTCAGACCGCTTCTCAGTTCACCTTGATTTGGAGCAGAGTTGGAAACTACATGCGAACATCAAATTTCAAGTAAGGCTTGTCCTGCTTACATCAACCCACATTTAAGCCCTTTTCCGAAAGGATGCTGTACTTAATCACAAAGTGAGTACCAACAATCCATATAACATACGTAATCATACATCAGTGCTCATATATCGGCTAGCATAAGTATGATAAACTAGACTGAAGTGAGCTTCAAGGTCTGCGATCATACAATGCAGGTAAAAATATTTTTAACCACAAGAGTGCGCTATTAACTCATGAAACCGGAGCTTGCTAAACCAACAGCACTATTGAATAACTACAAAAATGTGCATGAGAAAACTGCTGTAGCCTACTTTTTACTTTAAATGTATGCTGTCAGTCGACTCATCTCATAAACTCAATACATTAATAAAACTTACTGACTCAATTCTCATTGTGAATATAATTTTGTTTTCATATAACTGAGGAACGGCCAATAGTGTGCAAACTTTGTTTTATTGTTTTACTGTATAATTAAACTTAAGTAATTATTTTGTAACTAATATACTGTGTCCGATAGCAAATACTTGTAATAAGCAAGATGATCATCACTAGTGACACATGAAATTTCCCCTTGTGGGACTAATAAAGGTATATCAAATAAAGGTATATCAAATTCTTAGTGCTTGTGACGTTTGATTCAACTTAAGTTCTACCTGGTAGGTCCATCGCCAAGGCCTGATATCCATTAGTTGCCAGCAGGGCCATGGTACCAAGTTCTTCCCAGGTTTTGGATGTGAAGGCCTGACCATGCAATAAGACAATTTGCAGCCTGCACAAACACATAACTGTGTTAACCGGGATTTTAGAGCAGACACAAACCAATCCTGTGATAATCACCATCGCCATCTGGTTTATTAACTAATTTTGTAAATTGGTTTGATATTAATTAAAACTGGAATGCATGCTATGTCCTCAGATAAGCTCACCTTGGCAGTATCTGCCGTCCAGCTCCATCCACTGGTAAAGCTTCTCGGAAGAACAGCGGGGGGTCTCCAGGCAGCTGTCCGGTGCGAATAGACACATTGATAGTTGGAAGTGGAAGAGGAGGGGTGGCCATTAGCCCCATTTTTTGAGCTTCCAGGGATGGCTCCATGCTGCCCTGGCGAATGGATGGCAGCAGAAGGTAGAGCAGTAACGTGGCCAACAATACCAGGCCCAGAACAACGAGACGATTGCGCAAGAAATTCATTTCCTCAAGATGAAAGATCTAGAGAAAGCGGTAAACAGTAAATTGTTTGAAAGCCCTTCATATTATTCCGGTTCACACAATAGTGCTATTCGTCTGGCACTGTATAAATGGATGAAAGGACTAGTCCCCAGACCTGTGGTTTTACCTGCACAATGTGGTTACAAATTGCAAACTTCACCTGTATTGTTAAAGTATTTACTGTCACATTGCTGATAAACACAGCTGATTTTCATCTTCACATATAATAAATAGAGCTGACTGGTAACATTTTTAATGTAAAGCTACCAAAAAAGTGTTTGTTGCTTGGCAGTTCTTCACTTAATTAGGTGGACATTAACATTTAGAAGTGAATTGGTTTTCCTTAAAAGATTGAAGGTGAGATCCTTTGGAAACAATCATCTAAATGCAAGCTGAGACAGACTGCAAATGAATAATCCTTGCACACCCCGCATGAGACACTGTTCACTCTAAAGGTGCTTAATAAATGTCAACTGGACAAAAATGTTTGGGGACGGGTGGATTTGCAAGGTAACAGAATGAACAAACAAACCTAGATACAGCCAGGATTAGTGACTCCAATTGTTTGGTGCTGCAGTGCAAAACAGTAAGACGACCAATATAATCGAGCCAAATGAAAATGACAGCTAGCACCAGCTAATTGTATTGCTCCGGTACTAGCTAAACCCGCACAATGGGACGCAGCGGGAGGCGACCTGCATTATGCAGCAACATACCGACACAGAGGAGGTAATTAAACACGTTCAGTGGCGGAGGGGCGAGGCTTTCTTCTCTATCGTCATCGTCCTCGGCGTTGCTGGTTACCAGTGATGGGAAATGTTGCTGAAAGGCTTCGGTTCGCTGCTCGTTTGGATGGCTAATTTAGCTTTTCAAAGTGAGAGGAGAAATTGTACTTAAACACAGATGCACATCTTTATTCTTCTAACAAAGTAAAACCAATTACCCGGTCAATGAACGAGTGGTTGCCGATAAACTCAAAGTAGACGAGATATTAACCAACAGACGAGAAAGACAGTAGCGCAAACGCATTCTAAAGAATTTTTGTCCGATATAAATTAAATCTACCACGATTTTAAACCGACTTTTTCTCGTCGGAGCACTTTAAGAGCTGCACACAACACTAATCTCAACGGCACTTCCCGTTGAAAGTTTCTTTCCCGAAAGCGAAGATGTGAATTATTTTTGTTTTTTAAAGGTTTTGGATACTTGGTTTACTTTTAGAAAATGAACCTAACAAAGCTTGCAGAAATAAAAATTAAATAAAACAAAATAATAATAAATGTAAAGTGTAACTGAGCGCTCAAAAGAATGTTAAGCTCTAAAGTAAAATGCAGTACACGCCATTTATCCCAGACGCTGTATAAAACCTACAACCTATAACAAGATAGACTGGCATATAAGTACAGTATTTTTTCCAATAAAATAAAACACAATATGACAAAACAAATATCTCAAGTAAAATTTTTACAATAATATTTTTTTAATATTAAATAAGTAAAAAAATAAAATAAATACTGACTATAATATATTAGGATGATGTTATAAGGTAAAACATCTCAAGATAATTAAAATAAAAATAAAACAGGATAAAAATATAGCAAAAAAATAAAATAGAAAAAAAAATAGCATTATAAAATTGAAAAAAGAAAAAGATGAAGCCATAAACCAAAGTCATTTCTCTGAAATCTAATTCAAATGTCTACCTGGACACCCCCAAACTCAAGACCATACTTTTAGTACTATCTCACATCAAACTTAACTCTTTAAATCTTTATGACATTTTTTATGTACTTGAACCGCAAGTCAATTGTGATAGGCTGTCCTAAAAAAAGGTATTTCATGCACAACCAGAACTTGTCATTTCTGTTAAAAAATATTCCATACTAAGAATTCACTTGTGTTCTTATATGAATTAAAGCACAGTGGTGGAGGGGTGTTGATTTGGGTTTGTTTTGGTGCCACAGGACCTGACTATAATAAACGGCATTAATCCAAACATTGAGTCAACCATGAACCTCAATCTGATTGAAATGCTGTTGTGAGACCTTAAGAGTGCTGCCCGTAAATGAAGGTATGAACTGAAGCAACCATGTAAAGAAAAGTTTCCCAAAATTCCTCAATGATGTGACAAACTGTTAAAGTCACACAGAACACAGAAAATGCTTACTTCAAGTGACTGCTGCTAAAGGTAGCTCTAAAAGCTCTTTTTCATATGACTTTGCGCTCAGAATCTCCCTGACAAAGCAGAACCTCCTTTCTGCTAAGAGTAAGGAAATAACAGACAAAGAAATCATATATAAAGACATTTTAATAATGTAATTCTCTAATGCAAAAGACAAATATGAAATTTTTAAATACAGAACACTTTGATTTTGTTAATTTGCTTTGAAACAATAACCAGTACATTTCAGTTACATTATTTATATCTTAATATTGAACATAATTACTGATCACAGAATCACAAAATCTGCTTTAAATAGTTAAAAACGTTCTTCTTGTTCTCGTTCTAGTCAAGTTTTACCGTGCAAGATCTTTATTTTTGTGCTTTTTGCATACTATTTGAAATAATATGTTGAGAAACATTTGCTGTAGAAGAATATCATGTTTATTATTTAAAAAAAAAAAAAGACTTAAATTTTTTTGGATACTTCTTAAAAAAATAAGATGAAAGCTGATGGAGAGAGATAACAACCATCGAGGCAACCCTTTGCTTTTCAGCAAGATTCACAGTGAAACAGAGTATTTCCAATGTGACACATTACACGCGAAAAGCCACTATAGCACTGTCATGCACTGACAGTATTCACTCAGTTTTGTCCCTCACGACATGTAATGACACCCAGTCCAACTCTGCATGAAAGTAAAGTGCAGAACTTGAAGACCTATGCAATATAAGTACATATAACATCACGATTCAACACCAGCTGTGCAATTCTGAGACTACCGTGTTTGTGAAAAACCACCTGCTGGCTTCTTTCATAACTCATTTTAGCTACTGAAACTAGTACCTACTGTATAAAACATGCAACTGCTCAGCTATATTGGGAACAAACAATTCTGAACTTGTACCTACAGTAATTGCTGTTCACACAGTATCACCGGCAAGATCCTTGACACAACATTTTTTTTCAGTCTGCTAATATTCAGTTAGACAGTTGCAAACAATTTCAAAGCAATCCTATACATTTGGTTATGAATGGAGCGAACATATAGCCTATTCCAGTACATCAGACACAAGCTGAAATCAGCTATAATCAGTTATATTGAACTTTTAGCTGCTCCCTGCTTTCAGGGGTCGCCACAGCCGTTAGCTCCACGTTTGACTTGGTAGATTTTTTATACCGGATGCCCTTCCTGATGAAACGCTAAAGCGATCCGTTTTGTCTTCCCAGGATCAAACTGGGGGCTATTTGGCTTGTTGGGCAAATGTGTAAACTACAGTCAGTTATAGTGTCAAGTTGTGTTTAAATTGCCAGTCTGATATATTTCCTAATGTTTTATGACCTGTTTTCACAGTGATATCCATTTAAGTTGATGGATACCTTGTAACGTGTATGTATTTTCTCTGCACTGTTCGGTTATAATAAAATTGTTAGCCATGATGGAGTTTATATCAATATAAAGCAAGGACATAAAGACTGCAACTGCAAAAGAGAGCTGGTTTCAGCCCTGTTAAGGCACAATATTGAACTGAAAACAAGCAGGTCCATCCTTGATGTTTCTCTAAGCAAAAAAATACAAAAGAGATTTAAGACTGGCTTGTATTTCATTAATAAGACACTTAAGAGCTTGATATTCATACTATATAATACTATTGTAATGTAGTGTCTGTTTTGCCATGAGGCACCAATAACCTGTAAATATGTGTGCGTCTGTTCCCTTTTATCCACTTTTTCTACTTTAAGCCATGTGTTGTTGTTCTGATGTTAAACCAATCATAAAAAAAGCTTTCAAAAATAGATATCTTTGGCTTCTCTTCACTATGGAGACAGTAAAACATTTACACTAAGGTCCTGTAAAGCTACTCAACATCCATTTATCTGGTGATTACTTTGAGAAAAGACTGATTTTAGGCATGATTTTCTACAAGGTAATCTTGGTGGTAGGACATTCATTTCAGCCCATTGTTATAATGATGGATTGCATTTATATAGCGCTTTTCTAGGCACCCAAAGTGCTTTACAATTCCACTATTCATTCACTCTCATGTTCACACACTGGTGGATGCAAGCTACAGCTGCCCTGGGGCAGACTGACAGCAAGTTGTTGCTGCAACTTGCTACCCACAGATATTTATGTTCCATCGGTCTGCATGCCAGGACAAAAACAGCTTGGGGAGGTCTCAGATTACTTGGTATTGTCAATGCATCAATATAATTTCCATATTTATGCATAAAAGTCTAAACTGTCCACTTCTAGGCTCGCTGAAACAGTAAATAGTTAGTCTCTGTTTCCTCAATGTAGAAGAGTAAGGAGTCCGAGCGGAAGTAAAAGGCAAAGAGGCCAAGTCCCTAATACAGAGGAGGCTCTATTGGGCTCTTTTTCTTTCAAAGTACAGTCATCACCCCTGTACCCACTGTAGCACTGGCACTGGAAGTGCTTGTGGAAAAAAGTCTTCTCAGTTTGGCTGAGCATTCCTGTAACCTTGAGCTGGCCACTCTGACTAGTTATCTTGTGTGTTGAAGGGCTGAGATGCAGATATATATCGCTGTCCAATATTCTGCGAAAACAGCGGCCGCTGAAATTACATAGCACATGACTGCAGTGCTCTGCTGCTGTGGACACATTGAGCAGGTACCGACCCAGCGGTCCCTTAAGATAATCATTTAGGGTTGAGCAGTTGGCCTGGAAGACAAAAAAGAAACGTTAACTTGACTTGCCACTAATCACCAAGCAGTTCAGCATCAAAGAAGCATAGAAAATACTGTTCTTACACTGCTGCTTGCATGAGAGGTGTCGCCCCAGAAGATTACACCTGCAGCTCCAAGTGCAACACTCTCACCAATTGTGGAGACCAAATCTGTCTAAAAACAAAAACAGTTCAGGGCTGTTCAGTGAAATCATACAGTAACCTGTGTTTTAGTAGGACAGTCAAATATACACACATTTTATATCCAGTACTAATGTCTAGTTGCCAGTTGAATGAGATTTCCTAACACCTGTATATGGAAGGTGTAAGTGACTATAAATACTGATTTAATTTTATAATAACTCCACCAAAGAATTAAAATTGAGAACCTGAAGATGATTGTGGTGAAGGACAACAAATTGGTGTGTCTCCGTCAGAAACAGATGGTATAGTTTTATTTTTTAAAAAGTATATTTATGTTCATCAAATTTAGGCTAATGTTGGCTTTGTTTGCTTGTGTGTTGTTGCATAATGTAAATATAATAATAATAATGATGATCTAAATTAAATCACACTTGTATTGATCAAAGTGTAATCGTCTTGTATAAAATGCTGTTCTAGCCAACTAACCTCAGTTAGGAGAGTCGTTTGACTGATATAGGTAGGTCGGGTGTAAACATAAACAGGACGTGCTAATCCATCCCCAACAGATGCCAGGCGCATTGCCTCCTTCACCCTGTTCCGGACAAAAAGGCGCCCTTGGCTCGTTGAGCGTAGCACAGGTTCCATGTATACTGACGGGAAAAGTGCTGTACATTCCATCCACAACCAGTTGAGATGATTATTGCGGTCCACCTCCACTGAAGGACAGTGGCCTGTGTAGTTTTGCAGACCATTCTTGTTGTAGTCATGGTTGTAACAATCTGGAAACAGGTAGAAGCCCCACAGCTGATTGGGCCTCATATTCTTGGCCAGTTTCAAAGTCTCCTGCATGAATCTTTGAGCCGATAGCTCAAATTCTTGTTCTGCAACTTTCTCCACTTGTTTTGAGGTCCATGTAGGGTTCTTTTTGGCTATCATTGCATAGGATTTATTTCGATAGATAAGTTTAGCATCCCAATTTCTGACCCATATAGGACGCCACTCCTCCCAGTCAATAACAGCCAAACCTTTTGCCCCTGGCACTTTTATGTATTTTTTAAGGCCTTCGGGCATCTTTTTTGAGTGCTCAGTGAGGCTGACAAGCTGTGGAAGGCCTCCATTCACCGCACTGCCATCATGCTTATAATAGGGATACAACCCAAGACGTTCCTTATAGAAGATTGTAAGGTTTTGCCCCACAAAGCCCTCATTGGGGGTCGCTACAATGTCAAACTGGCTCAAAGATAAGGTTACTCTATGTCGTGGTTCACACTCCTGTGTTGGGGCATTCCAGGCAAGAAGAACTGGCTTCTGGGTATATAATGGCCTTCTTGTCTGCTTTATTTCTGCAGAACAAAAGGCTGTCCACGATGTAAACACAGTCAGAAGCAACCAGGGCAGCTGGCCAGTTGTGGTGAAGAAAGGGTGAAATGCAGCCTCCATGGTTACAGCTCACCCTTCACCCCTCTTTGTCTGTAAAAGACAAAGCAGTTTTGTTAAATTCAGCCAAAACCTAAACGAAATAGTTCAAATCTATTTATAATCTATTATCTATATATTTAGATATATAGATATGGAAATCGTTCGCAAGCAAAGCTCGCTTGCTTTGCTCACGAAGGTTTCTGTGAGCTATTACTACATTATTACCTCATTACTCATTTGTATTTTCAAATAATACCAAATAAAGTCATACAAAAAAACTTCCTCTATTCTTCAGGAAGGAAATTAAAACTACTTTTACTTACTTTGAAAATAGTTGTGGGAAGCTAGCTAAATAGGCTACTGGTAAACATGTAATGTTAAAATATATATATACACACATATATATACTTTATATAAATACATTACCGGACGTTACCTCGCCGTTAGCTCAAAGTTTCATTGAAACGGACTACCGTGCTAAGTTAGCTAACGGCTGTCTTCTTCGTGTCCATTCTAACCTGTTCCGCTGAAGCCGAGAAGTTAAGTTTATTCCATTCATGTAATCGTCGGGTAAGTTATTTTCCACTGCCCTGCCATGTGAGGAATAACCTCACTTTTTTCTATGCATATCGATGACTACTAATTAATCAATTCTCCCAGACCATGGCAGGAGTGGTGAGTTGAGCAACAACAGTTCATTGCATTTACTTCCTGAGTAGGGGGGTGTTCAGTTATTGAAAGACGTATTTTATCCGCGTTTTCCCGTTTATCTTCCCAACAGTGTTCCCATCATTTCACATTACTTTACAGAATAAAAATATTTCACCATGATCACAGCTTCATATGGCTTGAATTTGAGGGTAAATGTACATAGCAGTAAAACCTACCCCCCTCCTCGTGAATTAATATCAAGTTAGCCTGTTCTTCGAGTTCTGCCCTGAAGGAAGTTTCACTGATAAAAGCGAATCTTAGATTAAAATCTAGTGTTTTGCTCCTGATTTAGATCTGATTATCACCCTAACCTGAATGGATGAACTGCAGCACTCGGAAGTGGAATGGAAAGGTTATTTTGCTTCCTTTTGTTTAAACAAGAGCTTAATAAATGCAAACTAAAAAATATTAACTATACGTAAGTTTTTGCTTAAAAAAGTCTAGTATCCATGATATAGTGTATTTAAATCGATATGCACTATAGATGATTGATGCATTTTCATCAACTAGCTTAAATGACCTGCAGATCACACTAAACTTTGGAAATGGTGACCTCTCAGGTTTATAGGCTTAGTTTGTCACTTTTACAGTGAGGTTGATTTGAATTGTTAGGCAGTGTAGAGCGAGAAAAACTCTCATGTCTCATCTCATGTGCCCCTGCATTAAAATAAAATTGATAGAATCAGTTATACATCTCAAGATATTTTTTAAACATTTTTTAAACACTAAAAAGTGCTATGCCACTGCTGTGAATACCTTCAATTTCTTTTTAAAACTGTCATTTTTTAAAAGAGTAGTAATTATGTGTCTTACCAGCAGTCTTTTCTTTTACTTTATAATCTCCAAATGAAAGTGGATCAATCAAGCTGTCCACTTGTTAAAAATAAATACAGCTCAGTCCTTGTGCTCTGTGCCAAGAGTCTAGAAAGTTCTCCTAAGAGATCTGTCTAACAGAGGATACAAAAACAGTTGTTCATTGCTATTTAAATGTCAAGGAAACCCCACCTCTTAACCACTAAGTTGCACACACAAGTACAAACCCCTCACTTTATATTCTTACCTGGTCTTAATTTTAAAGCGTGGTAGTTAATATAGGAAGCTACTTTCATCACTAAAACTCAGTGGTGTGACTTTACTTCTCAAACAGGATTTTTGCCTGCTGGGTCTTACATGAATCAAGTGTAAATTTTACATGGGTAGGCCACATTCACACAAACACATTGGGTTTTGCAAAACAATACATAATCCAGTGCGAGGATCCTAATATATGTTGTCAGGATCATGGTAAGTAATATCACAGTAATTTAATACTTACTGTGACACTTGGAGACACACAGGCTGCTCCCTTTCAGCTAATTAAATCAGATTACTGTAAGTGGTGGGTTCCTGCTAGGCTGCATCTGAACATAGTTTTCAGTCTCCTCTGTGAGAAACAGGAGTCTGAGACCTCTTTCTCAAAAAAAATGTATGCAATCTATATGTGTCCTCCTGAGCTGTCAAGAAGACAGCCTGAGCTTTTTGTTTGCAGTGATTTGACCAACATACAACACTGACTTTCTTCAAAGTGACCGGCATTGCAGCTTCCACTTTTTATAGCAACAAAGGAGATTAACTCATGTCTTTGCAGATATTATCTTTGTGTTGCTAAAAATGTTCTTCTATCTTAAATATGAGATTAACATCAACTTAGTACTGAAATAGTACTATAAACAGCAGGAGTCCCGTTTTCAACCTACGCCCATACTTCAGGAAGCAGAATGCTGAGTGAGACAGAAAGGATTGTACTCAAAATTGTAGAAGGGGAGTCAGATGTATAAGTATCAGGGGAGGAGGTGGAGAAGGGCCAGACGCTAGAGCATGAAGGTGAGAGCTCAGAGAAAGACAGCAGCTTTCGAGGAGCCTGAGCAGGAACAAAGTGACAGCACCCACCATCCATTATGAATACAAATAAACATTTAGTCTAGAGCTCTAAGATTTTTTAGCATTGCAATATGTAGAAGTGAAAATTAGAGCCTTTTTAGTTTAACACACACACACACACACACACACGCATAAATTCTGTTTAAAATCAGCTAAAACGGTAATTTCTTAAACTGTTTATTCTGTTGATTTGTTTATTTAATATGTGTCCAGTAAACTCTACCTCTCCTTTATCAGTCAGAAGACTAAAGATAAAACTGTAATTTTTGAAATAATATGTTTGTTTATGTATTAGGGAGGCACCCCATTAGCATCGTTCTAAAGCACAGCTAGTCTTAAATACATTTGGTTAATAGGATATTTGCTGTATTTAAAGTTGATGTATTTAAAAGTATAAAATAATGTAAAAGTTGTTTTTTTTTTGTTAAAGCTTTTGAGTTTTACTTTTTTACTTTACACTTTACAGAGTTTCTGGTCCCTGTTTTGATCTTATTATTTTGCTGGTATTGTTTCTCCTTCTCATCACTGGGCTTGTTCCTTCTGTCTTCCACTCTGTCTGTATCATGTTTAAGTCTTCCTGTCTCGTAGCATTTATTACTTCCACCTGTCTTTTTTGTGCCTCGTGTCATGTCGCTCATCAGTCCGCAGAATATAAAAATAGTCCTGTCCTCATTTTTTGCCCTTGTCAGACTGTTTCCCGTTGCATTCGGTGCCTCTTTCCACACATCTTGATAAGAACATTGTTGAAACTGTGTTTTTCTTTTTCACAAAATGTATTATTCCAAAAGAGCATTTTTTAATGTCCACCAGAAACTCCAAGTAACATGTAACACTTTGCCGCTTGTGACCTCTGATTGTTATTGTGTCTGGTTTTCAGCAATAACAAATGAAATGTAAACTAGACTGAGGTGCACGTTTTCCACTTAATCAGAATCCACCCAGTTATTTTCCACAATCTGAGTTATCGACTCTTTCCTTTGAAAAGAGTTTTTATAGAAAAACTCATCAACATGCTTATAACAACAAAGCACGTTTTCATTCTTGACCTTCATAACCCAATTGTGCTATTACTTACACCTTAAGAAAAAGCTGTCAGATATATCTATTAGAAGGTGGAATAATTTAAATACTCCTTTAAAAAGACAAAAGAATATATTGACATTACTGCATGGCTTAAAATGTCATGTGACCTGTCAGCAAAACCAGAGGATATGTGGTTTGCTGAGTCAATTTCATTAATCCTGAGACTGCAATTCACCTTGTGGCCTTTTATATTTGTTCAGCTGTGAGAAAATAAACAACAAAAAAGTAATAACATGGCATGTCTTCCCCAGACTGAAAACAGTACGTACCCACAGAGGGGGCAGGGGGAAAGCCCAAAGACTGCAGCAGAGACACTTCATAAAAGCAATAAAGTGTAGTGGATTTTGGCACTAAACTCTTTATCCTCTAAGAAGAGCAATATTAGACAGCTTTGTCAAAAAACCCTTTCCCATGGTGACTGCATTGATAGTCTTTACTTCTGTCTTAACTTCATCCATAACTCATTAGCAGATGCTCTTATACACGCTTTACTTCCAAGTGCTGGTTTGCCATCGCAATTTCCTCTACAAGTGCCTAACTTCGTTGTAGGTGGAGGTCAAGAGCGACATTTGAAATACACATCCACCTTCTGCTCACTCCTGTGTTTAAAAACTCTGTAAAAAGATTCAACTGCCTGTTATATAAAGGATTATTTGGCAAATAGTTTCTATGAGCTTTGAGAGTTATATAAAAGTTCATCTTTCTTTAAATAATTGACTCTTTTACTGAAGTCAAATTCAAACAGGATAGCAAAGCCTTGGCAAGTCAAACTACTGAAAACTTAAAAGTACTCCAATCCAATCCTCGAAACTTGAAATATTTTAAAACCTTTAATAACATAATTGAATGTGATTACTTGTATTAAAACTCGTGAAAAATGCAGTGTCCACCAGGGCCAGACTGATGGCTTTATAGTCATGACTCCACATTCCCAGAAGGCACCTGAATAGTTTCCAAGATTAGTTGATGCCATTCCCATGCAGGTCTAAATTCCAAGAGCCAACCACATTACAAATGTCAGGTGTGGTTACCATATATGGCAGGGGCTTTAACCCCCTCCCGTTGCTAGAAGATCTTAATTTCCCACCATGACCTCTGTGTAATTAAACTGTAGTTATCTATCCATCACTGTTAATATAGAAACCCAGACGACTGTCTAGGGCCAAAAAAAAGCACAAAAGATTAACACGAGTGTCCATGTTAATCTTCTTTTGTCTTCACTGCTCTTACTGATTTTTACTGGAATATTTCATAATGAACTGTGATTATGTGAAGTTACGGTACATTGAAATGTTCATCTGTAAAGTTTGGATACAGAAAAGGAATGTGATTTAATTCAGCATTTTATTTTGTAATTAAAAAACAGTTATAATAAATTAAAAGTTAAACATTGTATGTCAAACCAGCAAAGAAAACAACAGGATCTGTCATTAGACTCACTGCTGCGATGCACATCTTGTGGCTCTGAGGTCACTGAAGCCAGTCCTTCCAACATTAAATTGTGACATTAAGGGTTTGTGAGCCACTGATTGTCAACTCATTGGGCTGTCCCATAAGTAGATCCTGTTCCATGCATAATGAAGCGAGTCATAATGTCAAAAAACGTAAGTGTGCACTGGCAACTTTTCAACTCTTGCTCAGACCCCTTTGGAGGGAAGAACATTACATTCTCCTTCAGCTCTTTGAGTTTTATGAATCAAACCAGAAGACAATCTACTGCTAAATATTCAGGCCTCAGTCATGTGTCATCCCAAATCTGCACACAGTCACACTTACATGCACACAAACCAAGATCTGTAAACTGATTTTCCCCAGCTTGGCACCATTCTAGATCCCTACTGGTGACCTATTTTGTGTCTTAACTGCACACAAGCCAAAAACAGATCACATGCAGAGGCTCAGCACACAATGCATCAGCCTGTCCACATAAGGGCATCAAATATATCAAGAGATCATGTTATTTTGAAAGGTGGTTCGGGCTTCCATCTGCAGTGGAAGCCGAAGGACGGAGTTGACACAGTGGCTAGTCCGAGACGCTCCTCAGACATTGTCAGGCTTCACAGATGACAACTGGGAAATCTACATGGATGCACGGATGGTCCAGCTTTATAATTCCCTGTGAGGACACGAGAAAATAAAACGATTTGGACATATGCTACAGAGATCTGGTATTAGTGTGTAAAGTCTTGCTTTAAAATCTTAATTTCCTCACCTGAGGTGTGAGGTTTTTCTGAATCTTCTTCAGCTTCGCTTTTTTACGGCCGTTTCTTGTCACAATCGTCTCTTCGTAGAACTCATGGGCCAAGTCACCGTCTTCATCAAAGAACATTGAGCTGGAGCAAAGACACAAAATTACTTGCGCACAGTAATTATTTTTAATACACACAAGCTAGCTTGCTTCTTACGCACGTATTGTGTAAATATTTCTGGTCCACATACTCTAATTTGTGTACCACAAAGAACATCCACATAAGTGTGGTTTTAAGATGTCAAACTTAAGGTGTCTGAATACACCTTAAGCCACTTCCCATTCATGCGTGATGTGCAAAAAGAAGAAGAAAGAAAGAAAGAAAGAAAGAAAGAAAGAAAGAAAGAAAGAAAGAAAGAAAGAAAGAAATGTTGGCTAAAATGAAAACAGTGTCTTCCTGTGGGTTAAACGGCTGGTTTTAAAAGGTTAACAGTGTGAGGGGGGAAAAAAAAAACAAAACAAAATGAAAAGCAAACAACCAGATCAGTGTAAAAGTGGTGCGTAAGAGGGTAGTTAAAACCACTACAGGTCTGTTAAAGTCTGCTTGTGTCCAGTCTAAATACAGTGTGGAGAATCAAAATAGTGGACACATTAGCAGGAAGAACAACCTCAGCTGATCTGGTGTGATTCACTGGTTAAACACCATAAATCTTAGGACTTTTTCTCTCTCAATAGTGTTGGCCAAAGGTGAATGTGTAACTCTGTTTTCACCGAAAACATTTTTACAAAGAACATTTTCAACCATTCTTTACATTCCCCCCCCCTTCGAAAGAACACACTGTATCACATTGCTGTTAAATATTTTCAAAATCTTTGCAAAATCATCACACACATACATCGCCCAGTTTAAATAAGGCTGGACAACATGCATGAAACAATCCTTTTCGAGCACTGCTTTTGAGTTGGAACCTCAGTCTACTCAAAAACCCACAGACTGCTAATTAAAAACGACACAAGTCAACAACAATGTCATAAATGAGTGTCTTGGTGTATGACGACATTACATTTACCTTCTTCTTGTAAAGACAAAAGGAGTGGCACCCGGGAAACTTCGAACTCTTGCCAGTGTCTGCTCATTTCCATCTTTGGTTGGATCGTCTGAACTACCTGAGCCAGAAAAAGGCCAAAATCCTTTGGATTTGGAGCCGCTACCTCCCATCTTCAGCTGCAGCACATTATTTTCTCGGGTCCCGAGGCTGCCAGTGGTGCTACAGTGTTACTGTACAAGATGAAATGTGCCTTCAGGGTGTGACACCTGTGAAAAGTGGCAAATAAAGGGTAGCTTTAGCTGCTTTCAGGCAAAACATAATGGCACGTATTGATTTATTTAGTCATTTTTACAAAATGCTACTTTAAGAAAGGCCGAGACCTGACTTTTCTTTAAACAAGACAAGTCCGGACTGAGTTCAGTTATGATCATTTTCTGCTGTAGGCCAGAAGCATGACGGTGCTAGAATAACACAGCAGCCAAAAATCACGCACGCAGTCACGCTTCTGTGTCACGAATTACAAATGGTTAGATATGGAGTTTAAATCAAACACATCAACATGAATATCTGCTTCTATCTGTCTAGTAGAAGACTCGGTAACATTTTGAAGCCATAGCAGTTAGCTAGTAAGCCTTTCCCGACACCAAGATCAGTTTGTCACCAGTGCTGAGAAACTTATCCCGGCTGCGCTAATCGTAGCTGCTTTTATGTCACTTTATGTACCGTCTGCTAACATCACCATTAGCTTTTATACTAGCATTAGCCAGGTCAACATGTTCCTAAACAAAATAACATTTATTGACGTCGCCATGGGCTAGCATGGACTGATTTAACAGTTCGTGCTGTTCCTCGTCGCTTTAGCTTAGCGGAGCACATACCTAAATTGCGCAGCAGTGTGCTCGTAGGTAAGAATTTCTCTTTGATGAATTTATGTTACTGGCTCGCTAATTCTGTACAAGCACAGACCTCATATCACACAAAGCTACGCTAAGTTGTTTATGCTATCTGACGGCCACGTTCTTCTTCTGTCCTTTCCCTCTGAAGCTTGGTGCAGAGACGCTGTGGTGAGCTAACGCCATCACATGGACAGGAATATAATAGTACTAGTGACTTGTCCGTTTTGATCTCATGTTGGGCCGAAACTAGTGAAACTGTCCCTTTTTTCAAGTGTATAGAATTTTAACTACACATTTAATTCCTCAGATAGCTTAATATTAAAAAAGAAGTGCTAATTCAACAGCACCTCTCTGTTTTTTCTACATAATAAAGAAATGCTGCTGTAGTAGATGGGAAAAAAAAGATCAGCACGATTCTTTGGGATTAAACTATAAGAAGTAAATGTGCCAAATTACATAAATCTATAACTGAATTACTTTGGTGTAGTATGACCAAGATGGAGGTCTTCATCAATAGGAAAAGCCTGAAAACCTATCAAAATAAAACTAAAAGTCCAAAATTTATGTTCTCTGCATTTTCCAAAGCCAAACTTTGGGACAGATTGGAGTCTTTGCTGGTCCCCCATGTCTTCTGTTTGACACCCGTGCTCATGAGCCAATAGTATAGCCACCCCTTGCCACATATACAGTTATTGGACACTTTACTACACCTTATTAGTACCAGGCTGGACTCCCTTTTGCCTTCAGAACTGCCTTAATTTTTCATGGCACTGATTCACCAGAAACATTCCTCAGATTTTGGACCATGTTGATAACATCACGCAGTTGCTCCTGATTTGTCAGCTGCTCAACCATGATTTCAATATCCAGTTACACCACATGCCAAAGGTCCAGTGTTGTAATGTTCAAGAAAGCAGTTTCAGATGTTTTGAGCTTTGTGATATGGCATGTTATGGATGTGACTGAGAGGGAGGCAAGTGTAATAATGAAGATGCTAGAAGTAGAGGCAGCAACGGTGACCTACAGTGAACAGCTCACTGTGGGTCTTGATACTTAGGGTGAGAAGTAGGGCATATCTGATCACCAGTGGGTTGCAGATATCCAAAGCTGCTAAGGGATGCCAACAGAAACCTTCACACAGACAAAACTACTTGCCCATGTGGGGCCCAAAGCAGTTTTCTGTAGGCAAGCACATTGTGGGCTGTCCACAGAAAACTTTTTAGGGTCTCCAAAGGATAAAACTGCTGCTATCCCTGCGTGAACACACCCAACTGGGCCCACATGCAATGAGGGGTGGGTTTGCCCTGTCCACACAGCCCCACGCCTACCCACTGTGGGCCCACATGAGTGTGTTTGTTGTGTAGACGCCTAATCTCAGCCACATTCAAAAGACTTTGTCAAAAGCCCTTCTAGAAGAATCAAGGCTGACATATCAGCATATTAATACCTACATTTGAATGAGATGTTCTACAATCACATATGAGTGTAATATTCATGTGGAAACTACTGTGGTCCCCCACAATGGGCCTTCTAGTCGGGCACGCTGTTAGAAATAATCAAAAGTTTCATATTAAACAGCCATTTTTCACATTTTATTAGATCATCTGAACATCCACACATTTCAGCTTACCCAACTCATTTTCAGAGGCTGATTAAAGTGCCACAATTTTAAAAAACATCGTTGCAACATGAATAAAACTGAGTATAAGATGATAAACCAGATAAACTAAGATATGTCACTTTAAATAATCTAATCAAGCAGCATGATGTTTAAAGAAAGAAGTGTGATCAATTAGTCCACAACAATTTCATATGTTTTGAGTCAGTCCAGTTCATAGCTGTACTAGATCAAAATCACCCTGAACTGAACCTTTAAGTAATTCACATTAAATATTACAGCAAACTCCCCGCTTTATTACCAATCTCTAATCCATACAACATCATCACCTGAGCTATTTCATTCCCCTTTACCATGACATAAAATTTCTTATCGACACTTTTCATGGAAGAATGTCTTCTAATTATTCCAGTGTGAAGCTGAGTGTCTCGGTGTCAACCCGGTGTAGTCATCGGGGCCATGGCTTGCTTCATCATGTCTCTAGCAAGAGCGTAGCGCTTCACGATCTCTCTTACGTGTGCTTCTTCCTCCCGCTGAAGGATTCGCAGGAAGTTGCACAATTCAGGAAAGCTAAATGCATGCCACTGTGAAAGAGAGCAATTCACCATCTAAGCCCCATATATTGACAAGTTTATCTTTCTCAGAACAGAATGGAAACTTACATTTACATCCCCTGTCTCGTTCTCTTTCAGAACCAAGCTTAAGACTGTTTCACTGGGGCCAGCGCACAAGCGCAGGTATAGAGGACGCTCATCATCAGACAGTTTACGCATGTACACTAGAGGAAAGAGAAGCAGAATTTCACGATTCAACAATTGGTTCTATTTTAGTTTGTAAGAACAACGCAATATTAGGAATCCTACCTTGACCTTGTCTCTCTGTGCGTTCAAACAAGGCAAACTTTGCCGGGTTGTCCACAACGGTGAACTTATTGAGCAGTGCTTCGATGACTTCTCGTACCCGTGTTTCAGAGCTTATATGTAGGTGCTTTGCAGCATCTTTGGGGAGGTAGAATGATGTCCGCCGCTTCATCCGTCTTCCCTGATAATCATCTTCCTGCATCAAGCTCAAACTCTGACGGGGAGGAGGGAGGGAAATGGGACGAACTAACTGAAAGTGGACCTTGATGAAACCAGTGTAGGACCCATCTTTATTCTGAAGGGTGGACAGATTTATAGCATATAAATGGGAATTAAAAGGTTTAATACATTATCAACAAATATTATGAATAGAAATATGTTCACACATCTACATAACTATGCTAAGATGTGGTTGTAGTCAGACATTTATGACTAAAAAAACAAGAATTGCGTGCACAAGTTTAAATTTAATTTGGTTTTTCTTTAACCCACACAGGGTCACATATATACATACATACACCCCACAAATATTTGGTTAAATATCCCTTTGCATGTTGTGAAGGTTCTGACATAACTCTAGCTGGGTATTCGACTGCTCTTCTTGGCAGAACTGGTAGAGTTCATTTAAATTGATTAGTTTCCTGGCATGGTGCTTTTAATGGTAGATCACAAATTCTTAGTATGGTTGAGGTTGAGGCTTTGGGAAGGCCATTCCAGAAGCTTAATGTTAGCCTGCTTTTTCTTTGCTCCATTCCAAAACCAGTTTTGATGTTTGTTTGGGATCATTTTCCTGTTGAACTATCTGGTTGTATCCTAGCTGTTGATTTAGGGCGAAGTTGAAGAATTTGGAGATAATGCTGCTTATTCATCATTTCATCCACTTTGTGCAATGTACCAGTACCACTGACAGCAAAACAGCCCAAGAGCACGATGCTACCACCACCATGCTTTACAGCTGGAATGGTGTTCTTAGGTTTGAAAGCCTCAGCTTTACTCCTCCAAACATACCTCTTGTCATTGTGGCTAAATAGCTCAATCTTTTCTTGGCTGACGATCAAACTTGTCCACGTGAGCAGTTGCAAATTTTAGTTGAGCTTGAAGGTGTTGATTTTGGAACAGGGGCCTCTTTCATGGTTTGAACCCCTTCAAAAGTGGTGACACATCTGAACAAGTTGTCCATTTGTACATCTGTTTAAACCTATGATCTTGGAAGCGCCAGTTGTTTGGAAATGGCTCTAATGACGCCAACTTGTGTAACTCTAGGATTGTCCTTCTTGGATCTTCACTGAGTTCCTTGGACTTTTCCATTGTTCTGATTATTGGTCAATCCAATGAGTGCTTTTAAAACAAATTATTTTTATGCGTTTTGCTTTTTATACCCATTGTAGTCAATCATGATTACTAATGAGAAGTTTTTAGTTGTCGGTGTTTCTATATATTATAGTTTGTATGTATACTTTTAACCCTGTGTGGATCAGAGAAAATCTAAGGAGCTTGGAAAGAAAGCGACTGGCAACAAAGCAAGTCCAGACACTTTTCTTTCCAAGCTCCTTAGACAACGACGACCTGGATGACTGAGAACCTTCACAGACATATAGCAACAAAGTGGTTTCTGTTTACATACAATCATAATGATTGTATGCAAACCTCTGACCACAACTCAATGTATTTATATGAAAATGCACATTTTTTGCTTAACTGAATCTCAATGAAACTGTTTTTTTCAGTTCCTCACATCCACCATGTAGAGATTGTTGCTGATCTGAGCATTGTATTCCTTCACCTTCTGTTGAATCTCACTAACACTTAACTCCTGTTTACCCAACTCGATCTGTTCATCCTGAAAAGAAAATGGAAAGAACAACAAATAAGCCACGATACAGTGAGCAGAAAGCTTGCCTTCACAACTAGGCTTTAAAAAGGGAAGGTGAAATAAAACAAATGCATGAAAAAAAAGTCAGCTCAATACAAGCTCTTTTTATGTAGCCAGAAAAAAACAATAAAGAAATATTTACTTAAAACAGTTGACCAAAAAAAAAAAAATAGCCTGATAAACTATGCCACAGCCTCACCAGTACATTACTGTGAAAGAAAGATGAACACACAGTGAAATGCAGGTTCATCTCCCAGCTGCTGGCTTCTTGAGTAAAGGATGAGTCGCTCTTCTAGCATCACCATTACCATTTGCTCCTCACTGACAGTAAAAACGCAATAATGACATCTGGAGGGGGAAACCTACTCCCAGTGGGATCTGCTTAAATTATCTTAAGTGACAATTTTCCCCTCATGTTATTGCTCATCTATACTTCAGAGGATTTTAGTGGAGAAAAATCTAAACCTCGGCATTATTTTAATGTTTTCTATGTTTATGTTTCTATATTTGTAAATGCACTTATAACAACCACACCAATGGCTTTATTTTTGTTGAATTCAATACTTTTCTGCAGCTTTCCCGGGAGCCTAACACATCCAAACATGCAGGCATTAGAACTTCCAAAGCCTTGTAAATGCACTTTCATCCTTCTACAACAAGGCCCCTAAATTGTTCTGATTGTTTTCCCAGTAAAAGGTGTACTGAAAAAAGGATATTATTATCAGTTATAAAGTTACTATTTACAAAATATAATAAAGGATCTGACTGTGTCTGGTTGGTGCACAATCATAAATGAGACCAGGCAG